TCACTTGGGAGAGCGTGGTGCTGACAACACCACGCCAAGGGTTAAGATCCCCTTACCGGTCATCTCTCTTTTAAAAAAAAAAAAAAAAAAAAAAAAGCTCAACATCACTAATCATCAGGAAAATGCAACTCAAAACCACAATGAGATATCATCTCACTCTAGTTAAAATGGCTATTGTCAAAAAGACAGAAAATAACAAATGCTGGCATGAATGCAGAGAAAGGCAAACTTTATACACTGTTTGTGAAAATGTAAATTAGTACAGCCATTATTAAACACTGTATAGAGGTTCCTCAAAAAACTAAAAATAGAACTACCATAGGATCCAGCAATTTTACTATTTTATTTATATACAAAGGAAAGGAAATTAGTATATCAAACAGATATTTACACTCCCATGTTTATTACAGCACTATTCACAATAGCCAAGGTAAGTGTCCATCGACAGATAAATAAAGAAAATGTGATATTAAAAAAAAGAAAGAAAGAAAGAAAAAGAAAATGTGGTATATATACACAATGGAATACTATTCGTCCATAAAAAAATATGAAACCCTGTCATTCATGACAACATTATCAGCTTGGAGGACATTATGTTAAGTGAAATAACCAGGATCAGAAACAGAAATACCACAAGTTCTCACTCAAATGTGGAAGCTGAGAAAGTTGACTGTGTAGAAGTGAAGAGTAGAATGGTGGTTACCAGAAGCTGGGGTGGGGGAGAGATAGTGAGGAGTTGGTTAATGAATACAAAATTACAGACTGATAGGAGCAATAAGATCTAGGGTTCCATAGCACTTTGGGTGACTATAATTAACAACAATTTATTGTATTCTTTGAATTAGTTAAAAGACAGGATTTTGAATGTTCTCAACACAAAGAAATGATGAATGAGATGATAAATTTGACATACCCGACTTGATCATTACATATACTATGTGTGTATCAAAATATCACACAGCACCCCATAAAACTACAATTATTATGTCAATTAAAGAAACTTAAACAAAGATTATTGTTAGCAATTGGAAGCTAATGGAAACTTTCAAATAATTGAATACTTTTTTCCTATTTATTCCCCAACCTTAATAAATCTCCTTTTATTACCACTAATTTATTAACATAGTACCTAGTAAGAAATGAAAATGTGTCACTAAATAGAAAGTTCTTCCCTTCTATGGTGGCTGATTTAATCAAAATTAGATTATAAAATTATTTTGGTTAATTTAGTTTTGAAATTTAACAATGTAAAATACCATCAAATATATTTAAACCTAAAACATGTAACTGAATTGCACAAATAGCATTTTAAACCAATATGTTTAGGTAACGTGGATGTATTAATAACAATAATGCCTAAATAAATTGAATTTCATATATCTAATGTAGTCAATAGCAATGCTAGTACTCATAGTAAGAGTTGTTTCTTCTTAGGGAGAGTACACTATTCTCTAGTTAACTGGGAATGTATACGTTTTCTTTAATGGTTTTAATTTGATGTGTTAGTATTCTTTACAGGCTCACAGTTTTCAGATAAGTATTCACTAACTATTTTGGATGGTTTCTTCAGTGGTACTGCATTACATAAAAAGGTGAAATAATGACCTTTAAAATATTGCCAAACCGAAAACTGCAAAATTATCTTTGGTTCATCAAGGATTCTTTTTATTTTTCTTGGGAAAAAAATGTGTATTATGTGAACGTGTGTGTGTGCCCTTGTAAACATAATTGGTGTCTAAGAGGCCTCATACCTCCTAGCTCTCTCAATTTACATTCAGTGGTTTCTACATCGGAAATAGCTACCTAACTAAATAGTCAACTAAATAACTAAATAAATATATAAGTTCAATGTCACAAGAAATAGCAGTGGATACAACTATTGTAATTCTGAAGATACTACAAAACTATAAATCATCCTATATGAATTTTGGCTAGTTTAGCTTGGAGCTTTATAATTAGATCCCATTTCTGTTGGAAACCCAAACAGTTCCCATTTGCCAAAATGTTTTTTAAAATCTCAATATTTTAATTACGTTTTGAAACTCTCAGAATTCCTTTTATTTTCTTCAAGCATGTTATATATTCTGACAATAATGAGTTAATAGGTTTCTGACTTCAACTCCTGCCAAAAAAATAGTATAATACTGGACAAATATATGCAGTTGATGTTGTCAGGCCTTGGACAAGAAACAGAAAGGGCTATGAACTTTCAGGGAAGAACAGCACAGTAGGTGAGGTCACATCCTACCAGCTTACTGCCAGGGCACTTTCCCACCCTTCACAAGGAAATGGAGCCAGGAAAGCTGAGGCTGGAGGCAACAGAGATCAGAGACCAGGGATTGGGAGGTGTCAGGAAATCCTGCAACTGCATCTTCTTAGGAGGCTGTCTCCAGGACAGGGAGTGATCCAAAGCATCTGAAAGGGTTCCCTTGGTCCCACTCACTGCAGGGGCAGAGGCCTTCACCGTTGCATCAGAGGTCAAGTGCAAACAAGTGCTATCAACTACTGAATCCCAGGATCTTTCTTCAGGTGTGGTATCTCACTTCTTCTTCCAGAAGGTTATGCCCTGCCTGTTGAACCCAAATGGTACTGGTCTTATGAGTAGGGACAATCTCTGGCCTGACCACATCACAGGAGACAGCCAGGATAATGCTTCCACCTGGACTAGACAGCAGACACCGAGGCCTAAGCCAACCCAAACCCACACAACAGGATGGTTATGGATTCCCTGGCCTGGGATGGCAATGAAGGCTCCAAACTTCATGCTGGCACCAACCTCGTCCTGGTTTTCAGTCTGGAAAAACCTAAGAGCAGGCAAATGCGTAAGACACAGCCAGAGGTGCATCCAATGAGTTGGTTTTTCATGACTCTAGAGGAGTGACATTGCAGGCTGGCCAGGCTACCCCCTTCAGCTGACCAGCATGGACCTTGAATAAAATGAAATACAAAGCAGTTTCAAAAGACACAGCTTTAGGTCTACTAAATGTAGAGACAATAAGATATCAAGTGTAAAATTAGGAAGTAGCTTTTGGTTGCCCAAGGCATATTGTGAAGTGAGAAAAGCATAGTGCAAATCGGTATACAAAGTATGACTTTATTTTCACTAAGATGAACAACTTGTATAGAAACATATTTGAACATACGACACACATAGACACAATTCGTGTGCATAAAAACATTTGCAGACACAATTCTATGAGGATAACACTATACAGTACTGCAAACCTTGGCTTCTGTGTTTGTTTTTACAATTCTGGCTAATCTAAATCTCTCTTTTAATTTTTTTCTCTATGCTGGTATTGCTCAATGCTTTCAAGAATGTCATTTTGGAGACAAAATCACCGGGACATTGTAGTCATATATTGATCTTAAAACTATCTCTTCTCAGACATAACGGGTAAATCTCTGAAGTTTTAACTTTTTTCACCATCCACTGATGTTTCACCATAGTTATTTCTGGCACTACCTTTGAATCACTACATAGGCATTGTTAATAGGTTTCTGTAATTTGTATTTTACAACTGTTTTTCTGATACAATATTAATTGTTTATGCAGAACACACCCTGCAGTCACAAGATAAATGATAATCACTTCCCAGCAATGACATGAACTCGTAAACTGAAGATACTGCCCATATCGTCAGGTGGAGAGCATCCTTTGCACACTTGCTCCAATTTTGAACACTGCAGACATTTCACAACCAAAATAGCATTTGTTTCATTGTTCTCTTTTCGATGTTGATGTCAAATTCCAAAAAGGAATTAAATGTAAGTGAGGATATCAAGTAAGGGATACAAAGTGAATAAAAGTGTTGCTAAATGAATTGGACACAATAATTGACTATATAGGCATGTGCATTAGTCCGTTTTGTGTTGCTATAATAGAACTACCTGAGACTGGGTAATTTATAAAGAACAGAGGTTTATTTCGCTTACAATTCTGGGACAGCTGCATCTGGCACGGGCCTCAGGCTGCTTCTACTAATGGTGGAAAAACCGCAGGCAGTTGACGGATACAAGCAGATCACATGGGGACAGGAAGCAAGAGAGAGAGAGAGAGGAGGTGCCAGGGTCCTTTAAACAATCAGGTCTTGCGGGAACTAATAGAGCAAGAACTCACTCACTACCCCTCCTCCCCCAGGCAGAGCATTAATCCATTCATGAGGGATCTGCCCACATGACTCAATCAGTTTCCAACACTGCCACATTGGATATCAAATTTCCACATGAGATTCGGAGGGGACAACACATCCAAACTCCATCGGCATGAGAATTGTTTTCTGTGAGAACCACAGACAGAAATTCACCTTCGTACTCCCACTTCAGGGACGCACAACAGCTCTACTCCATCTTCCTCTTCATGGCTCTATCTGGAGTAGTTTTGTCTGTTCCCTAAGCATACGTTCAGAGACTGACGAAATTGACTCTAATGCTTCAGACCCTGTGCATTTGAATTCCAACACGATAATGTTTATGAGTTTGTTTCCAGTGGAGTCATTTTGTGTCTGAATGACTTTATAGAACGATATGTACATTAGGATTTGTATCCTTTGGGAGCATCCAAAATATTACTTTTAGCATCTGAGAACCTGCTGGTTTTCCTGAAATCTTAAAATAATGTTTCCAAACACTTGGGTGATCAGTTACAGAGAGTATTCCCTAGAAATCTGAATTCCTTAGGGTGAAACGAGACCTTCCTCCGCCTTAGAACAACGACGCTCCATTTTTCTGAGCCCTCTGAGGTTAACTTTGGCCTCTTCTCCAGAAGCTCCAGTGGAAAGCGCCTCTAATAGGGCCTTGGGAACTGTGGGAACTACATTACCCAGAAAACTCTGCGTCAGAAACGCCGCGGTAGAACCAATGAGTGCTCAGAAAAGCGGCGTTTCCGTTTAGCACATAAGGTCGGGGCGGGACTTCCGGCGTTTTTACTCGTGGCGGACCTTTTGGCTGATCTTAGGTGTGTTCATCCGGGTCAGAAGATCCGTAGCAGTGGGTCTGGGATGAGGTGTCTGTACTAAAAAGACTCCAGAGGAGCCGTCGTCCCTGCTGTACAGAGGCGGGTCTGAGGCTCGGCGACGCCACCCGGGGTGACACGCGCCAGGGCCGGTAAGAGATTGCTGTGACGGGCTCCCTGCCTCAGTTTCCTGCCGTTCCTGGCCCCTCTCTGCCGGCAGCGTCCGATGGCGACAGCCACGCTGACGGACGAGGCTCAGGTAAATGCTGCGTCCACCGAGCCCTCACCCTGCCTCACTCGCACCCAAATTCTAAAGCCCAGAGTGAGGGGCGCCTGCTCACGTCCCTGCAATCTAGGCCTCTTTGTCCGGGACAGCGAGGCGCTCGTGGGTGGGGTGCCTGTTTCTGACAGCCTGTGTGATGGGGTGTGAGAGAGTGTGACAGGCAGAAGGACAGCTGATAAGACAGGACGCTGAGCACTGAGGCACGCAGGTAAAAAAGCCAGCCTGATGACACCTAGCTCCAGTGCTAGGCAGGGATATAGGGAGACTGAGCCCTTCCAAACACCGATATGTACTCATGCCTCTAAGTTCTGGCCCTTTCCGCGTTCTATGACTGTAGAAGGGATATGCAACCCATGCAAGGAAGTGGAGGGTGTCCCAGTCCCACAGTGGCCTTGACTCTAACCCGCATGTTTTTCCCCCAGTCCTTGGTTCTGGGAACCCTGGAGAAACTCCTAGGCCAGGGTCCTAAGTCCATGTTAGCCATTATATACAGGTGTTACTTAGTATAGAAGTGTTACTGGCATGTAATCTAAACAGCGTGAAAGGTTATCCGAGAAACACAAGATAGGCAAAACCTTAGAAGTAATACTTGTTGGGAGTATTTAGGAAATTACAAGTCTTCTTGCTTTATAGTAGAAACAAAGACAGGGAGTTAGGAGTCAGAACTTCAGTGACAGCCAGAGAAGGTGGATATCTATTTTGGAGGTAATAGGAGGAAGTTTGAATCAGAGCAGGGAGGTGATTTTCCAAGGTCTTAATAGACTCCATCTGTCTGCACAGTAGAGAACAGACTGTGGGGTTGAAGCATGCTGTGGTCTGAATGTTTGTCCCACCAAAGCTCATGTTGAAACTTAATCCCCATTGTGGCAGTGTTGAGACACGGGGCCTCTGGGAGGTGATTGGATTGTAAGAGCCATGCTCTCATGAATATATTAATCCATTCATGGGTTAACAGGTAAATAGATGAGTGGGTTATCATGGGAGTGGCACAGGTGGCTATATAAAGAGAGCACATGAGCACGGTAACACACTTGCTCAGCTTCACTTGCCACGTGATACCCTGCACCTCCTAGGGACTCTGCAGGGAGTTTGGACTTCCCAGCCTCCAAAACTGTAAGAAATAAGTTTCTTTTATTTATAAATTACCCAATTACAGGTATTCTTTTATAAGCAACAGAAAACAGACAAAAGCAAGGGAGGAGGAAGGAAGATCAGGGTGGAGGCTACTGCTGTAGTCCAGGCAAGGGTTAATGGCCAGAGTCGTGGCTAGGAGATATGGTTGGATTCTGTATGTGTGCTTTTAAAGGGGGCAACTAGATTACCTAATGTGGATGGTGAGGGAATGAAACAGAGTATCCAGAGAAGACCCCAGGGTTTTCTGTATTAGCAGCTATAGTGATAGAAGCTCTGTCACGTGAGATGAATAAGTTGGTAGTAGTTGTAATATTCACTAGGGATATCAGGAGGTTTGTTTGGCAGTGTTAAGAATCTGAGATCTTTCAGAGTCTACTAAGTGAAAGTGTTAAGAGGGCAGATGAAAACAGGTCTGGAAGTCTAGGGAGTGGTGAAGGATGCAGACATCTAAAATATGGCTATTGTGTGGACCAAGGTGGGTGTGCTGTGGGTCACATATAGGAGGGACAACCTCCAGGCTGTAGTTGTAAAGCTATTAGCTGGCCAAGAAAAGGAGAGCAAGGCCTATAGACAGGTTTTCTTGGTTGGGTACCTGGGTAATGGTATTGGCTGTCACAAACACAGAGGTAAGTGGCTATGAAGGGAGGGCTTGGAAAAGACAGGATAGTGTGGCAGGTGGCTAGGAATCCCAAGTGAAGAATAGACATGAGATGGGTGCAATGATACAGGAGTAATTGAAGTAAGATGACACTCAGCCTGGAGCTGGTGCTTATTCACCACTCTGTGGATTCACCAGGATTTTGTGACAACGTTGATGTGACCCGGGGTGTTTCATTTAGGCTGGAGGATAATGTCGTGGTCAAATATGGTCATCTGTGATAGTTACTAGGTGTGGGGCTGGACTTAAAATAAGGGTTAGGTAGAAAGAGGAAGGTGGTAACTGCTGAGGGGATGGTAAATGCAGCACAGAAGTGGAATACGGCCATGGGCATCTGTGGTCCACACGTGGTTCTGTGTGCTTCTGTATGGCTAAGTCTGAGGCAGGGAATGGAGCCTGATGGGGGGCCTTCATCCAGGTTTTGAAGCTGCTACCACTACTGGAAGCCATGGGAAAACATGATAATGGGTCCTGTTTGAATTTAACAGGCATACTCCAGATGCTGTCTGCCAAGTTGTAGTGTAAGGCCAAAAATTAAGGCCTAGTATGTTATGCTGTCATGACATCTGGTGAAAACAGTAGTACAGCCTCAAATGTCCCGAATGCATATTCCTCTCCCAACTCTGCTTCTGTGAGTGAGCTGCCTTAGCCAGATAAATTCTTCATATGAAGGAACCAGAGCAGCTTCTGCATAGCACTTTGTAGCAGCTTTTAGTTCCCTACCAGTCTTCAGAGTTATTTAAACAAGCCAAACCTATCCTACTGCAGGAACAAGGGGGCACTTTTCCTTCTTGATACTGCAATGCTTCTATCCCACAGCCCCTGGTTCTTCATTCTTTTCTGGAGTAGTATCTCTGTGTAGTACTGTGTGGAGTGTGGTATCCTCTCCCAGGCTATGAGTATATGTGATTGATAAATTGCTGTTGATTTCATCTGTCCAGTGTCAGGTGTCATGTGTTTGGCTGTCACCATAATTGTAGGCCATCCACTGTGTCACCCAAATAGCATGTAGAGAGGTCAGGGAGATGCCTGTGGTGTTGCACCATGAGGTGGTAGTGGCCATGGTCTTGTGGCTGTGGGATCTGGACATGTGAGGGGTATGCAGTCTAAAAAATGATGTGTACTCGGAATATGCCTGATGGCTCCAGAGCAGTGGTATTGAGACTCAAATGACCTTGGTCATACTCGAGGAATATCCTGGCATGAGCAGGTGGATCCCTCTATGCCAAGCCCACAGCTCAGACATATATTTGTCCACCTACCTCTTGTTACTGACAGCTGCAACCAGCTATCAGTGGGCCCATGAGGAGACAACAGCACCTGGTTTCTTCTCTGGACTGGGAAATTTGGGAGTACTATGGCATGGGATAGAAGTATGGGGGTAATAGATTATAGGTTCTTGAGAGAGGAAATGTCAGTGGTTTCATCTGTCCCCATCCTGGCAGGGCACTGTGACCTTTGAAGATGTGGCTGTGCACTTCTCCTGGAAGGAATGGGGTCTCCTTGATGAGGCTCAGAAACGCCTGTACCATGATGTGATGCTGGAGAACTTGGCACTTATTACCTCCCTGGGTAAGATCTTCACACCTACCCCTGTGCCCTGAGCTTTTTCCCTTTCCCCAGTGGCAGGCATGTTCTTCCTACATTGAAACCATGGGCACAACTTCTTTCCTTACTTCCCTGGGTGTTTGGTTTGGTTGGTAGGGCTGGAGTTGTAAATTGCCCTCTTTTTTCCTTGAGCAGCCAACATCACAGGGAAGGATTCAGCATTGGGTGTCTTGTAGTCAGTCTCATGGGTCTCATCTTCCTTGTCTGTCCCCAGCCAGGTAACTTTTTCCAGATCCAAGGTCCCTGTGTGCCCCAGGTTCTACCTTCTTCTTCTAGTTGACATTTCCTTACACCTGTCTGTGCCAGAAATTGCTGTCACTGACTTTGTCACCACTTATATGGACCATGGGCTGCTCCTACAAAACCCTTTTCTGAAGTTCTTTCTGTGATAGTTTTCTTTCCTGTGGACTATCATGTGCTGAGTCATTCTGGGCTGGTCATGGATGCTTGTATATCCCAGATGTCATGTAGATACTCACATTAGGGGTTGGGGCAGACAACCCTCCATAGTTCACAGGATGGCTATGATTCCAGCCACAGCAAATAGTCTCAGAGGGATCCTGGCCGTGCAGGAGCACATTATATCAGGGCTATGTTCAAATCATACCAGAAACCTATTCTTTTTGACTAATATTTTGCTGTAGTGACAGCTGTGGCCAAAGTTCATTACTGCATTTCGTTCCTGTTCTTGACACTTTGCCAAATTGTCAGCTCTATTGCTTGTCACTTGTACCCTTCCATCCAGCTCAGGGCTAATTCACACATGTTTGGTCTCACCAATTTTTCTCACTGTGCTGTCATCAACAGTGCCCCCTAATGTTGCCCTCCACATATTGTGTCATGCATGAAGTGTGCAAATATTCTTAAACAGTCCTTGAAGGCAAGCTGCTCTTTTGTTGTCACATTTTCTGGGGCCTGTACAAGAAGACTTCAAAAAGCTTGTGGAAAAATGGAATTAAGAGATAAAAATAAAAAGTATCTGTACCTGCCAGTCACCAAGAAAAAAAAACTTTATTTCTCAACATAAACTTCATCAAGTTTAAGATAGTTTTTGTAAGCAATGATATGAGTCATTTAGTACATCCCGAAGGAACTGAGGGTCTTGAGAATTTAACCATGTCAATGCAATCTTTTTTACATTAGTAGCTGGAAAAAAAAAAAATGGATGCCCTTTAAAGATTTATTAGGATTAGGAGACAAAAAGAAGTCAGAAGGAGTCAAATCAGGACTATAAAGTGGATTCCTACTGATTTCCAATCAAAACTCTCACAAAATTGCCCTTGTTTGATGAGAGGAATGAGTACAAGTATTGTCATGGTGGAGAAGGACTCTCTGGTGAAGCTTTACCAGGTGTTTTCTGCTAAATCTTTGGCTACCTTTCTTCAAATACTCTCATAATAAGCAGATGTTTCGTTCCTTGGCCCTCCAGAAAGTCAGTAAGCAAAGTGCCTTGAGATCCCAAAAAACTTGCATGACCTTTGTTCTTGACCAGTGCACTCTTGCTTTGAGTAGAACACTTACACCTCTTGGTCACCATTGCTTTGATTGTCTTGTCTTCAGGATCATACTGGTAATGCCGTATTTCATCTCCTGTTGCAATTATTTGAAGAAATGCTTCAGGATCTTGGTCCCGCTTGTTTAAAATTTCCATTGAAATCTCTGCTCTTGGAGCTCATCTGGGCACAACAGTTTGGCACTCATTGAGCAGAAAGTTTGCTCAACTATAATTTTTCAGCCAGAATTGTGTAAACTGATCCAAATGAGTGGTCTGTAATGTTGGCTATTGTTTCTGCTGTTAATCATTGGTCCTCTTCAACCAGGGCATGAACAAGATTAATTTTTTCCTCACAAATTGATGTGGATGGTCTGCCACTGCAGGCTTTATCTTTAACATCATCCTGTCCCTTCTTAAAATGCGTTATCCATTTGTAAACTGCTCATTTCTTTGGTGCATTGTCCCCATAAGCTTTTTATCAGCGATTTCACCATTCACCCACCCAGGTCCCACCATCAATTTGATGTTCATTCTTTCTTCAATTTTAGAAGAATTCATGTTGTTCTGATAGGGGCTTTTTTCAAACTCATGTCTTATTCTTCTTAGTGCCTCAAACTAGATTCTGTTCAGACATGTTATAACAAGTTCGTAGGATTTAACAAGTTAGTATTTTGATGCAAAAAAATTTTGAAGTCTGTGCTTAGTTTTTTCATAATATGCATTTTTTTAGAGGAATGAGTTGCAATCCCTGACTCTTCTCCTGTGTCACATCCCATGGTTGAGGCTCCTCCATTCTGTGATCTTTAGATGCCCAGTTCTGTTACATGGCCCCATCCTCAACCCGATCACAACTCCCTGGCTCTGGAAACAATCCCATGGACTCAATTCCTGGGTTTGTCAGATGCACGTTGGTCAACAGGCTGCTCCCTCCCCCAAAAGCCAATGTGTACATCACCAGTTTTTCTTTCCTTTCAGGATGTTGGTGGGGAGCAGAGCATGATGAGACAACTTCTCAGCAGAGTGTTTCTGCACAAGGATTGTCACAAGTCAGGACTCCCAAGGCCCATCCTTCTCCCCAGAAGGCCAACCCCTGTGAGATATGTGGTCCAGTCTTGAAAGATATTTTGCACTTGGTTGAGCACCAGGGATCACATTATGGTCAGAAACCATACATAGATGGGGCATGTGAGAAATGGTTACAATTCACTACATACCTTCATCAGCACCAGAAGCAGCACATTGGAGAGAAACCCTTCAGAAGCAACATGGGAAAAGACTCATTTCTTAACAGCAGCCAATTCCATGTATCTGGGAAGCTCTTTACCTGCAGGGAGGTTGGTAAGGACTTCCTGGTCAGCTCAGGATGTCTCCAGCAACAGGCTCCTCACAATGAGAGTGCAGTGGCTTCTGAAAGTGTAAAAAGTCATTACAACTGGAGAGAATGCGTGAAAGCTTTCAGCTACAAACATGAACTTGTTCAGCACCAGAGAGTCCTCAGTAGGGAAAGATGTTATGAGTGCAATGCATGTGGGATATCCTTTAGGACAAGCTATAGCCTCAGTGATCATTCAAGAGTTCATACTTCAGAAAAGCCTTACGAATGTGGGGAATGTGGGAGATCCTATAGGCAAAGCTCTAGCCTCATTACACACCAAGAAGACCACATTCAAGTAAAACCTCATCAGTGTGATGAATGTGGTAAATTATTTAGCAGGAAGTATAACCTCATTATACATCAGAGAGTTCACACTGGTGAAAGACCTTATGAGTGCAACGAGTGTGGAAAATCCTTTAGCCGTACTTCTGGCCTTATTACACACCAGAGAGTTCACACTGGTGAAAGGCCATATGAGTGCAGTGAGTGTGGGAAATTCTTTAGCTGTAGCTTTAGCCTCATTACACACCAGAGAATTCACACTGGAACAAGACCTTATGAGTGCAGTGAGTGTGGGAAATCCTTTACCTATAGCTCTAGCCTCATTACACACCAGAGAGTTCACACTGGAACAAGGCCTTATGAGTGCAGTGAGTGTGGGAAATCCTTTATCCAAAGCTCTGCACTCCTTAAGCATCAGAGAGTTCACACTGGAGAAAGGCCTTATGAGTGCAGTGAATGTGGGAAATCGTTTCGCAGGAGCTGTCACCTCATTAGACACTGGAGAAGTCACACAGGGGAGAGGCCTTATGAGTGCAGTGAATGTGGGAAATCCTTTAGCCAGCGTGCTAACCTCAATTATCACCAGAGAGTTCACAGTGGGGAAAGGCCTTATGAGTGTGCTAAATGTGGGAAGTCCTTTAACTTCAACTCTGATCTTGTAAAACACCAGAGTATTCACAAGGGATAAAAATTTTTAGGTAACACAGGTAGGGTTGTTATGGACTAAACGGTGTCCTTGCAAATATTATGTTCAATTATTAACCCCCAGTATGGCTGTACTTGTGGATAGGGCCTTTAAGGAGGTAAGTGAGGTTGAAGGGAGTCATAAGGATGGGGCCCTAGTTGAATATGACCAGTGTCCTTAAAAGAAGAGGAAGAGACACCAGAGGGCTGTCTCTGTGTACATGCACAGAGGAAAGGCCGTGCAACCGTACAGCAAGAAGATGACTGTCTGCAAGTCAAGAAGAGTGCCCTCACCAGATTCTGACCATGCTTATTTCCTGACCTTGGAATCCCACCATCAGGACTGTAATAAAATAAATTTTCTTGTTTAAGCCACCAATTGTATGATATTTTATTATGGCAGCTCAAGTTAGCTAATATAGTTATTTTGGTTTAATGAGTGAGTAAAAATGGACAGAGGCTACATTGCAGCTAAATTCAAATGTGCCCCAGAAAGATAGGGCAGAAGGAACATTTTCCCAGTGAGTGGAGCTATGTGCTGGTCATCCATTGTCTGTGGAAGAATAAGTATCCCAAGGTGACCACATATACAAATTTTATGTTAGCCGAATTTCCAGCCTACCTTTGTTTTTTTTTTAAATTAATTTTTTTTTTTTTTTTTTTTTTTTTTTGTCTTTTTGTCTTTTTCCGTG